CCTTCCAACCCAAACCATTCTACAACTTAAAACATTCCATGTATTCTATGAACTGAGCCAAGGTGGGACCATGGGGAAGGTTGGAGCTATGAACCTGGGGGCAGGGGGCAGACCTGGAGCTTTGAGCCAAACCGTATAGCCTAAATTGTGCTAGAGCAGGAGCTTGCTCTGTCGCAGCCCTTCTTGGGGGAAAAACAGAAGGAAAACATACAGGACATGCCCTGGTCCCTTCTCTTCTCATGAGCTCCCCAAGTTCCCAGCCAGCACCAAGTTACTTCTCCCTTCACAGACAAGAGCCTGGAGCCGCGGCTGAAGGAGATAGAAGAAGAATGCAAAAGGAAGGAGAGCCGTAGGGTGGACCTGGAGCTGAGCCTGGTGGAAGTGAAGGAGAACCTGAAGAAGGCAGAGTCTGGCCCTGTGACACTGGGCACCGCGGTGGACACCACACACCTGGAGAATGCAGCCCCCCGGGTATGTGGGGGTACCCCTGGGATGCACAATGGCTTTCCAGCAGCTGGGCAGTCCCACTGTCTCAGCCTTATAGTAATATGTAATCTTATATAAAAGTCTAGATTGTATCTTATCTAAGTATTATGTAAATTATTAGCTGTAATAGACATAAAACAATAGCATAAGAATAACATAATTAAGTAACAACAGTGATGGGGAGGCAAAAGGGAGTTGGGGCTCCGGAGAGTGATTTTATTTCCCTGTTGGACTTTGAACAACACCCTCCAAGGCCATGCAGGGCTGGACCCAGCTCCTTCTGCACTCAGCTGAGCCAAGGGGTGGTTTTGGGGCGAGATTCAGGCATCTAATTTCCTTCTTGTGAACTCGGTTCCCATGAAATGGAGATGGTCAGTGCCTGAACCATGCTTTGTATCTCTGCTTGAGTCCTCAACACCCAAACACACCACACACATTGGTGGTAAATTGGGATGTCATTGAGAAAGTGTGCCTCGGTGCAAGTGGGATGTGACTGTGAGTAGGCGATGGTGGGGAAAGGCAGCAATCTCTTCTATTGTTCTATATAAGCATTCTACTCTTTTTATTATAGATTCAGGCAAAAAGTGCCAGTCCAGCAAACAGTGCAGACAACTCGCCAGTCAATTCAGCAACGGCTTTAAAAAACAGGCCTTTATCCGTCATGGTGACAGGGAAGGGAACAGTCCTACAGAAAGCTAAGGTGAGGTGCTGACTGGTACAAGCCACTGCTTTTCCCCCTGGACGTGGTGGGACAGGGTGGTGGTGGGTCTCACCTCTGGGAAGCACCCCTGACCAACCACCACTCAAAACCTGGTTTTCCTCTGTTTTTTTTCACTTGGGTTTGCCTTAGCTGTGATTTAAATGAATAAATGTGTGTATTGCTTATAACAGAGAAACAGCCCTGACCTACTCTGCAGCCAAAAACATTGGGTTGATCGTGCACATTACAACTATTGTGGCTTTCCAGATCTGCCTTTTATCTAATTTGTCTTTATTCCTTGGCAGGAATGGGAGAAGAAGGGAGCTAGTTAGAAGCACATCTTTTTAGATGGACTAAAGACTGGAATTGCCCATTCCTGGCCAAGGGGATTCAATCATCTGTAGATGGAGGTTGAGTGTGCAACACAACCACACACCAAGCGCCTCCTTCACGTCACGCCAACTGCTCAGCGCAGCAATGGAGCCAACTGCTGCCAATATGAGTTATCCCAAATGATCTTGCTCTTTCCAGACAAGTCCCAATCACGTAGCTAAAACAATAACAACCAGTGGCAATCCTTGCATCAAATTCCTAACCCAGTTGATGTAAACAAGAATGTTACTGTACATAGGGATGTTCTGTGTATTTCTACTCCGAAGGTTTATCAATGAGTTATTAAGGTTTCTATATTAGTGGCAGTAGTGGGTTCAGAAGGGGCCTCTGCTATTCTTTATACCCTGGTGGTTTTCAACCTGTTGTGACAAACTGCAGTCAACTGAAGTCTCCTGTCTTGCTGCCAGTCATCACTCAGCTGCATTTCATCCAGCCTTCAGTCAATGGCAATACCCACACCTAAGTGATGCTGAAGACATGAATGAGAAGCACACAGCAGCCTGTCCAGGGGATTTCTAATTGGTGTCCTGATTCATCCCAGCATGTGCTCACTCCTACCAGCCTGCTCCGGCTTTGTCAGAGTATCAAGGAAGATCCCTGCTCACCTTCTCGTGCTGTAAAACATGGTACAGACTGGTGGCACCAAGATCTCTGGGCAATGGAGACCTGCCAAGCAGATTCAGTTAATTCTCTTTCACCCGAGGAGTTTGTTCTGGGGAAAAAAGAAATCCTATTTGAAGGTTTGTTAATAATTTACCAAAGGCCCAGGCCTGCTCAGCTGTTGTATGGGAAGCTGGATCCCGGTGTATCTGTCCCTCAGGGCTTGCTCTTTCCCAGGGGAGGGGAGGTCTGTCCCCATGCTCCTGTCCCAGCTGTGTGAGCATCACTTTGCTGGTGCTCTCTGGTCTCCACTGAGCCACAGCCGTATGATCTGCTGAAGGCATCCCCATGTCTTCAAAAGGAGCCCCTTCACACAGGCAGGGCCAACCAGCCTGACCTGTTCTCCTCCAGGGGTGGGCTGCCGTAGTTGTGCTGTCACCCTGATTTCCAGATTATTTAACTTAAAATAGCCTTTGGGCCCTGGCCCACAAAGCCCACCCGTCTCTGCCCTGACCAAGTTGTCTAATGAAAGATGTTGGACATTTGGGACTGCTAAACTTAGAGACATTGAAAGTTGAAGAGGGAGAAGGGAGTTATCAGAAATCCATGCCCCCTCTCCTCCTACTAACCTGCTGTCATGTCTGATGGCCTGGAGACACCCCTCTTCTCTGATGGCTTTTCATCCCTTGAGCCCAGACTCAGTAACTGGGTTGGGCTGTGGCTGTTTTCCAACCCTGGAAAGGTAAAGCAGCACCAGTACACACCAGGCTGGGTTGTTCTGGGGTCCTGCGGGTACACTGACAAGCAGGGTAAAGGCAGACACTGGGCTGAGTGAGGACGTGCTGACCAGGGGCTCTGGGCTTGCTTGCCACTTGGTCAGGGTATCCTGGGGTCAATAAGGGCGATCTCACTCCCATTTCTTCTTTCTTTGAAACTCTCTGCTGTGGTGCAGATGGAGGAATAGCCAGAATGGATCCCAGGCCTCAGAGCAGAACATCATCACCCCTGTCCCTCTGCAAGGTTTGCATATAGGAAAAACTCATGCCAACAAACCACTGAAACTAGTTCGGGACCTAGGGGACTTCCCTCTCCAGAGCACAGAGGGAGGCCAAGGGCACCGTGAAGTTTTTGTTTTGACCCGTGAGGAGCTGGCAGGAGACCTCCCTACAGCCTAAATCTATGTGTAGTACCATGCCCTCACCATCCACCCCGCTGTCATCCTCCAGAAGTTGTCCAGACATTTCACAGTGGTACTGAGACAGCGACGGATGAGAGCAGCTCTGCTTTCCCCACCACAGCCCAGTCAGCATCAGTGGTCCTGCTGGGATATCAGCATTAGGGGAAGTAAACATAGGCAAGTCCTGAGCAGCACACATTCCCCAGACAAGAAACAAAACAATCCCTCTGCATCCCCATTGTTTTCCTAACTCAAGGCATTTCCTTTGTTGTAACTGTGACCTATGAAGTGGCGCTTTAGAGGGTTTTATAATAAAATTATGAGTATATTATGTTAGCAGTGGGTTTTCTTCATAGTGTGGCTTGTTCCTGCTCTACTTTCCAGTAGAGTTCAAGTTCAAAACCCCCACCAATGCTCTTAGTTACTAGAAAGTTCCTTAGCTATGCGATCTACAACTGCAGTGGACTGTATCTTAAATAGTGATCTACAGTGGCTACACCATCAACAAAAAGCATCTTCGGACAGCCAGCCCTCTGAAAAATAGCAATAACCGTTACAATTTGCATGAATACATGTAAAAGATTCCTGCCTGTATCTCAATAGCACAGTTCCTTTGCATAAAACCAGCGGACAAAATTGCATCCACTACCTTCCTCTGGCCACTAGGTAGCAACTGTGTGCAACGCGTAGTGCCTGTGCAGTCCCTGAAGGGAAAACCAGGATGGGGTTCAGCTGGAAAGGAAGGAAGAGCCTTAGTAAAGTGGTTGAGAACGGTCTGTACAGAACAGCCACCAAGTCAGATGTGTCTGTGACATACCTTTTGGTGGCTGTACCACTGCAGAAAGGCACCCTAGCCATGGCACAAAGCCCTTGGGAAGGTCCAGCTCCCCTGCCTTTCCTAGCCCAACCACTGACACAAGCCATTGGTGTCCTGCCAGCCTCCAAGCCTACGAATCCCAAAACAACATCTCGATTTGCGATTGTTGTTTCTGTGAGCTGAAGGGGCAGAGGCAGCTGATTTTGTCCTTCCCCAGCAGCACTGCCCATCACTAAAGGCTGCTTTGAACACCTCTGTCATCTCTAGATGGCTGTGGACCATCCTGGTAGCAAACACAGCTGCCTCCCAGACTAAAGGGCTTGCTCAACCCAGTCTTGTCCTACAAAACACCATGTTGAAGGATTGGGTCCAAAGACCCAGCTGTGCAGGGAGGCAGAGCTCCTGCTGCTGCTCACTGCCTAGCGCACGATTTAATACTTATTGCTTTGTCAGTTATTCCCAATGTAATTCCCATCTACACACATTTACTTATCACAAAGAGGCATGATTTTGCTTGCTGAGGGAAGGTAAGAGTGAAGGGGGTAAAATACATGGCACGTACTTAAACCCCAGTTTCTTAAAGGAGAAACAGGCTCATCCAGCAATCATACAGAGTGAGTAATTCACAGCTCCATTAGCAACAGCAGCCCAGACATCTAACGACAACCTGGCACAGACAGCACCCTCTGTGCTCCCCCAGTGCCAGACAGGATTAGCACTGGCTTCCCAGGGACCCCAGCTCCTCGGCGGCTGTGCCAGCCTCAAGGGAATGAGCTCCCATCAGCTAAGTTCTCATTAAGTATTTCTGACTGAATCCAAGTCTGTAAGAGTGAATTTAATAAGGGATCATGTCAAAGACCCAAGTCACTTACTTATTCCTTTTTTAATTAAAATTTGCAAGAGAAAGGGCCTAGAAATGAGCCACAATCTTCAACTCAGATTTGTAAAAAGGAAAAGAAAACAGCCCCAACAACAGTGTCCTGACTGCGTGTGGGATCAGCAGGACTCTTCAAGACCATCCCATCTATCCTGATCTTTGTTATCAGCTTGACTTTTCCCATCTCCTCCCAATACCCTGCCACCTTCTTACCTTGCAAACGGCTTTGTCCTGTCCAAAAGGTTTGCTGGTGGGTGCTGCCACTGCCAGAGCACATCTGAGCAACCATCCAAGGCTTCAGCAATGAGCTGCATTTAGGAGGAAGGTCACAGTCCCAGCACATCGCATCGCAGATCACTACAGACCAACACATAGATCACCAGCACATGGGGATCCCTGGGGCACTTTGGGCACTGAAAACTCAACCAGATGCACCCAGAGGCTCTGTTTAGGAACCAGCTTCCCTGGAACTGCTCCATGAGTTTCCAATCTCTCGTACCATCTCTCCTTGACAAAATGATACACAGGGTTAGATGTATCCCATCCACCGTTAAAATGTCTCCTGTATGAGATTTTGCATTCTACAATTCATGAATCACACAGAGAGGTTTGTCTATCAATCAGTGCTTAAAACCAGCAGGATCGTACAAACACAGGGTTTCCCCAGCTCAGGACCTAGGCAAGCATCCCTTGTCCCAGCAAAGCCCATGCACTCTAAAAATGTACTTACTACCTATGTATTAAAGCCAAGAGAAGTTACAAAGGTTACACCAAAACACAGCGGCCACAAGACAAAGTGCTCAGCAGCTGTAAAAACTATCCTGCAGGCAACAGAGATACGAGGAAAAGGCTTTAAGTACGTGTATGAGGCAAGGAAAGCACATCCCAGCTTCAGAGCTGTGTGCCAGACAAGGTAAATACACTTCCATTTGAGAGGGAAGACCAATCCTACAGAGGACAAATGCCTGTGGGGAGTGAACATTAATAGATTAGTTCCTCTTTCTATCCCAAATGTCAGCCCTCCAACTAAGCATGTATTTTGCTGCGTGTTAGGACACGGACAATCTACTAAGTGACAGTGAACAGAAAGAGGAAATTCTCTTTTCTCCTATCCTTGTCTCTCCCACAAGGCAGGACAGTGCTGCTCCTGTCTCAGTGCCAGCTTTCATCCCCAAGAGTGCTTTTAGACCATTCTTCTCTCGACAACAAACCCGAGGGGTAATTTGTGTCTCGCTTTGTACATCTAATGTTACTATTCACACACAGGGCCAGGACATCTGGGTGAAGGCATTTTTCTTCTTCTAGGAACAATAGATGCTATTTTCACGAGCGCTGGGAGACACAGTTAATGTCTCTGCCTCAGCCCTGTCCAGAGCTGCTCCTGCTCTCCCAAGGTAATGGACACCATGGGAAAGGCAGCAGAGAACAACCCAACAGTGTGAAGCACAGGCCCTGGGGAGCAATTATAGAGTTTCAAGGGCAAATTGATCAAATGATCCAGTGAGGCTGATGCTCCAAAGGATGCAGGCAAGTGGCCAAACTGTCTTTGGAGACACGTGAACCATCACAGCAAGAGGCCCAGCTTGTGCTACAGAAACCACTGCTGTGCCAGGGACAAGCTCAGCTTAGAACAGCAAGGGGAGGCAGAAATGCCATTCAGCTTGTCTGTCCGGGTTCAGGCCAGGACAAGCAAGCTGTTCTCCCCAGGCAGCCCCTGGGGAGAGCTAAGCAACATGCAAGGCTCTAAGCCATGGGAACAGCACCCAAATGGTAAGACTTGACCTGAAATGTGCAAGAAAGAAGGAATAAGAGAAAAATACACACTGGTAAAGAAGAGAGCGAAGAGGTGGCCAGCAGGAGGGGAAATGAAAGAATAGATGGGATCAGGGAAGAGAGGTTCAGGCCTCTTTCCCCTCTGACCTGCACTTTACCTGCCATATTCTGCTCCAAGCACCCATGAGAGTCCGCTCAGGAGGTTGTCCTGGTCCTGTCCCATCCAGGTCAGACTGTGGCCGGCAGATAACAGTGAGGCTGTGCAGGGAGTTAAACCTGAAAGCAGACAGATCAAAGCCAAAGACCAGCAGGATGGTACAAACCATGGTCCCATCCAGAGCCTGTAACAGACCAGATCTTTGTTTGCAAATGGTTGGGAAATTGCCCTTACTTGGTGTGTTTGCAGCCCTGGCAACTGGATTTGACCTGGGTCAAATCTGGGAGAAAATCAGTCAACACATCTACTGAAAAACTACCTGTCCCAGCTCTGCTTTGGAGCTGCATAAACCATTAAATACTCTTGCCAAACCCATGCTTTTCAAACCTCTCCTTATCGAATGTTTACAAACCGACTATGAAGCTGAACCATATTCAATCACCCCAAGCAAATTCAGAGAAGAAAGTGGCATGGACAACTTACAAAACAGAATAGAGGCTCATTCATCCTTCCTCTTCCTCTTATTTATCTTCCTGTGTGTAACAAGCCATTCACTGCAGCACCTGACAGTGTATTATCTACATTATACCCCTTCGACAAACACAAGCAGAACAGCAGGCTCAGGCACATCGAAAGAGTTGCTCAAACTTCTACATATTTTTAGACTAACTAACTCTCAAGAAGCCCATTATAATCACACGGCACTAGAATCTGGATGAGGAAATGCAAAATGCCAATAATAAATACACAAACTCAAATATTTACTGCAATTACAAAGGAAAGAGAGCACTGGGAAGCCCAGTTTGTGCAATGAAAGAACCGGGAATGGCCTCAGCACAGTCCTGGTGCTGGAGCAACTCAGTCACTGCCAGGGTCAGCGGTAGCTTGCTGGGTTGTGCTTGAGAATGGCACTCAGTGTTCCTGGATGGAGAACTGGAGCACTCAGTGCATCTGTGTCAATGATCCACTTGTCTTCTGGTGTGCCGGGGGGCTCTGGAGAAGTGCTGCAAAGCCCTTGGAGTCCACTGCGCATGTGAGTGCGGAGGAAGGACTGGGGATTGCGGAGAATCACCCCGGAGAATTCCTGTTGCAGGAGAGAAGCACAGAAGTGGGATAAGGGCTTTCAGACCAAGGGAGAAAATCACACTCAGTCCATTACAACCCAAGAAGCATCCTCATAAGCTGTCAGACTTTAGAGGCCATGGGGTGGAGGTCAGAATTCCTGGGATCAGGTAATGAGTGCAATATTGGACAAGGGAAAACCCACTTAACTAAGAACTTCCCACTACAGGCACAGGAACACCTCTGGAGAGCCAGAGGCTCACCAGTTCCTGGCCATTGCCTCCCAGCTGAAGAGGAGGAAGGCAATGGGAAGGCTTTTGCACCATGGAAAACACTGAAAGCAATATGATGGGGGAGGGGGAGGAGGAATGTCACACTCCAACAGAGACCGCTCCCTCACATTAAAAGGGAATCAGAGATTTCCACATTGGGAATCAAGAAGGGATTGTGACAGAGGCCTCATCAGCACCAAGACCCAGCCACCAAGCAGCTGCCCAAAAGTTACAGCCACATCTCTGCTCAAGGGAGAGGTGGAGAGGGGCTGGGCAGAATGGATGGTGTCTGCTGTGGGTGCTATCTGCTGATGCTTACTGCTCTCACAGTGGGGTCCTTCCCAGCCATGGCACTCACACCGGTAGCTCCCAGGTCCAAGGATACATACGCCCTGGTTCATGCATGGGTTGGGCTTGCACAGGTTTACAGGGCTTTTTGCTTCTGCAACAAACACAAGCAGAACAGCAGGCTCAGGTGTATCTACAGAGTATTAACAGCTAGGACACATGTTCATGTTCATCAGGAATGAATGACATGGCAGAGGGTGCAAGCGCACAACTCTGTCTTGACACTGAGGACAAACTCCTCTGTGTTTAACCTAGAGAAGAGGAAGAAGGACGGCTTTGCTAGATGTTGGAATCTGGAAGAGAACATTCCTTAATAAATGACAATTCCTAATGACATGGTGGTCTTGGCAGTGCTGGGGTAATGGTTGGACTTGACTATCTTAAAGGTCTTTTCCAGCCCAGTTGATTCTATGATTCTAAAGCTTAAAAGTGTGACAGTATGTTAGGCTGCCTGTCAAAGAAGAGCTCAGTGGAGCATCTTCAGAGCTGTGCACTGAACACATGAGCACCTCTAAGCCCCCAATATCCAGACTTTGCAGTGCAGAGCAAGACACGTGCCCTGCTCCAAGCAATTTATAACCCCAAATGCCACTGGAGTCCAAACCCCACTTTGCCCTAGAGAGGACTCGAGTTCCCACCAGCAAGGAGCAAGGACAAGAAGTTATCTGGGAAGCAGGGGTGGCATGAATGGAAAACACAGGAAACATTTCTGTGCTTCTTTCTAGGAGGCTTGATTGAAAAGCCTGCAACCACAGCCCAAGTTGTTATTAGCCCTGTTCATGTGAAGTATGTGACAGCTTTCCCAACCCTCTTAACACCACAGAGCCCAGCTGTCAGCAGGCCTGGCAGTGTTTCATGCTGCCTTCCTGCAAATATGTTAGGTTAAGTAGCAGCATCCAAGGGGGATTTGCTTCCAGTCTGCTGGCAACACCACTGCAGTGTTGGTAAGGGTGTGAAATTCCTCTGCAGAACAACTGTGTGGGGTAGAGACTGGAGCTGTTAGCCCTGCTCTTTGCTCTGCGGTAGGAAAAGCACAGAGGGAGTAGGAAAAGGGGGAGAAGGAAAGAATATAAATTCTATCCCCTATCCATCAGGATGATTACTACAGCTTGCCACACTCTGTGCTTGTTCTTCTGTGCAGATAACAACATGTGTGCATCAACTCTCAAACTGCGCCTAAGACTGGCAAAATTATAATTGAAATTCAGGTTTTTGACAGTCAAATCCTAGATCTGAGACATCTCAGTTCATAGTTCCTGTTGATTTTGTATGGAGCCAAGCTGAGTTCAACAACATTTTTGTCATCATGGGACATCTCAGATGGGGTCCTGCCTGACAGTACTTCCCCAGGGAAGGACACTTCTGCTTTCCCAGCGGCTGGTGGAGCTGCTGGCAATGAAAGCCAGATCTCTTGGACACACCACTCATCTTCCAGGTGCTGGCTGCCCCCCAGAGAGCTTTTCCACAGTGCTCTGCTCCACATGTAGCGCATCCGCCGCTCCCTCCATGGCTGCTCCACGACATAACCTTGAGGTCCTTGTTTGGGGGAATCACACTATTCCACCCAGACTCCGCTCCTCTGAACTCAAGCCTACTGTTAACACAGCATCATCTGAAATAAGCTTCTTGCACTTGAGCGATTATAACCTTCAATGATGCCAAGAGTTTATGTTTCCATTAATCAGATTCATATATATTTAATGCTTGGGATCTCTTCTCCTAGCCCCCAGATTGCTTTTTTATGGTCTCTCTTCATCTAAGCCTCAGAATAAATATGATATTGCAGATGTCCAGAGGCAGGGTCTGTTTCTAAAATACTTTTATCATGAGTCATAAATAGTTTTTAAGCCCTTTCACAGACAATGATTCTGTTATTGAGTCTTGGACTTGGGAGTAGAAGACTGAATGAAGGGTTTATCTCCACATCGCCCTTGGTCCTAGCCTATCTAGTACAAACAGTGATTACCTGCCCATGAAATGAAAGCAGCAATTCAGTCTCAGGAAATGATATGTTATTACCCTGACTCATTGAACCTTGCCGCCTTTTCGCCTTCATCTGTGGCATTGTAGTTAATTTCATGGTACAGTACATTGTTTTTGTAATAACACAGCTGAAAATACCACTGCAAAAGAAGCACATTGAAAAGCTCCAGGTAGAAACCATCTTCAGAGCCTGCAGAAGACCAGCTCCTCACCTAAAAGAGACAGTGCTCTAGTTCTTTCTAACCCTGAAGGAGCCATGGGCATGCCCAGAGATGAAAAGGGCCTTTGATAGTGCTGAAGCTCAACATGTTCCATTTGATCTTACAAATGAGTTAAAACATAACAAAAGCAAACAGATAGATGTTAAACTCAGACTATTTTGAATGAGAAACAAGGCATGGCATTTTAACTAGAAGCACTTTCTCCACCACTAATGTCTGCAAACCAGGGCTGCTATCCTTTCTGAAGGGCTGACTTCCATCAAACACAGGCACTCACACTCTATAGCGTTGGCTGCAGAAACATGTTCCATTAACCCCCCTAGCAACACTGCATGGGGTACAGCAATGCACAACAAATTCTATGGGTTTAAAGCAATCTCAGAAAAAGAACAAACTTCTTTTTCCTTCAGGGAGGGCAGAACCTAGGCCTGGCAGGGCTGGAAAGAGCCTCTCACACTAAGCCCAGTCTCAGACTTGGGCCTCAGTCCAGTTGGTTCCTATTCCTACAGATCACCAGATCTCTATGCCATAGCTTCCCCACTTCTAAAAGGCAAAAGACAGTATCGAGCTCACTCAGTAAAGCATCAGAAAACCTATGATAACAATACTTGGTTATGTTATCAGCATAAAGAGCAAGGATGACATGTTCTCTCACCTTCACAGATTCTTTCAATGATGAGATCCTGGTAATAGTGCAGGTCCTCATAGGATGAGATGTGGACCAGGTAGTTGGGAGACCCAGCAACCCTCAGCAGCGTGTCCTTCTGTGCATCCCCAATGACAACCACAAACACCAAGATGCCGTTGTGCCTCAGCTGCTGAGCTGGGGCAGCTGCATCCTCCATACCACCTCCATTTGTGAGCAGCACCACCACCTTGTTGACACCAGGTCTTGCTCCTTTCTGCACCGTCATCACGTCACCATAAACATGCAGCAAGGCACTGCCAGCAGAGCCCAAGTCCCCCAGGAAAGGCACCTGGTCGATGGCTTGGAGGACAGCAGAATTGCTCGTGTGGGTGTCCAAAGCGAACACGGTGTGAGCTCTGCTGCCATAGATCACAAGGGCAATTTGGGTGACATCCCGGTTGATGATGAATTGCAAACAGCTGCTCCTGACAAAGGCTCTTAGCCGCAGGAAATGCTCCAGGCCAACTCCAGATGAAGCATCCACCACAAATGCCAAGTCAAGAGACTGCGCCCGGCAGCCTGGATAAGAGAGTGTAAACGTGGTATTTCTCAGAATATGTATGTACTCCCTTCCGACCAGAAGAAAGCAAGGGGGAAAAACAATGGGCAAAATTCATCTCTGCTGATCACTGAAGGGTGATCTACAACCCTGTCACACCAACAGGTACAGATCCATCACAAAAAGCGGTGATGGAAGGTGAGTCCCTGGATCTACGACTGACACAAACAAAACAAGGACATTCATCCTTCTGTCCTTCCCTCCTCCCCCGTGGAGTTCAGAAGACCTCCTTGTGGTTTGACAAACTCATCCCGTAATGCTGTACCACAGTCTTACCTCCAGGATTGTCCACACTGCAGATTCTTCTCTGCAGCTCTGGGATCCTGTTGAACAGGTCCTGGGGGTCAGAGTAGACAATTGTCTGCTTTGGATTGCCAGTCATCTTGGTCAGCTCTGCTCTCATGAAGCTGCTGCCTACACCGATCAAGAAGAGATCATGGTTCCTCACGTACTTAGCAGCTTCTGCCACTGGATCCTGAGACTTGGAGTCAGAGAGTAAGACAATCACACGTGGGATATCACCCTGCATGTCTGCAAAGGCTGGGGTGCCCCTAAAACCGTGCTGTGCAATGTACTGCAGGGCTCTGCCTGTCAGGGTTCCTCCTCCACTGAAATTCAAAGCATCGATTCTCTTCATGAGACTGACTGCATCCTTGTGCTGCCCCACTTCAATGGGTATCCTAACACTGTTATCGTACTGGGCCACCCCCACCTTCATTGGTGAGTCCTGGCCCACCACTCCTTGGAGGAATCTCTTGAGGAATGCCTTGTAGCGCAGGAACCCTTCCAGTGTGACCCCCGATGAGCTGTCCACCAGGAAAAGGAGATCCACGCTGCACTCCAGGCTCAGCTTTGGTGCTGAAAAGGGAGACACCAATTTATCATTGGCAGGGCAACAAGACACACATGGGAAGACCTCAGCTGGTGCCTGCTGGAAGCCCTGTGGTGTGGAGATGGGACACGGTGTCCAGCAGCCTAGATGGTTTTCCAATCTCTATATGCCATAAGCTGGAGGACAACTGTGCCAAGACTGTGCTTTATTTTGGTTGGATGCCACATAAGCCTTCAGAGACAGGAAACACCTATGGGAGTCTGAGGGGATTCCTGAACTTCAAACTAGAAATGACAACTCCTCTAAGCACTCTGGGGAGAACATCCCGAGTTTTCTGGAGAGAGAGTCCAAGCACCAGACCCTCATCTGTAACATCCTGAGACACTTTAAAGTGGGAGCTTTGATTCCAGGGGAAGCAAGTGCAAAGCATTTCCTGAAGATCAGGACCTTCTTCAGTTTCTTACATTGGACCCCCAAAATCAGGAATCCCTCTTTAGCCTATGTGTGCAGGGAAGGAACCAACAGCCATACCTATATGTCTGTCCCAGTTTCCTTGTTCTCCTGCTCACATGGCACCTGCATTTAGAACCAAAGGCAGCCACACCAGGGTGAGATTGTCAGTATTAGTGCTCTGCATATCCACAAGGTTTCTGAGCAGTGAGGCCCGGTCACTGGGACTGACACAGCCATAACCAGCATGAGAAAAGTCATAGAACACAAGGTTGGAAGGGACCTCAAGAATCATCTGGTCCAACCCTTATAGAATCATAGAACAGAGAAAACTCAGCCTGTCTTCTGGAGAGAAGCCCAAAGGTTGCAGCCCAACCCCAGTTGTTCCTATGGCCATGCAACAGACACCGCAAAGGCAGGACTCAGCCAACAGGGAAGGAGGGTGAGCGCAGGTTCACACCTACCGCAGTGGATGTCTCCTCCGTACCCCAGCGGGCAGAGGCAGTGATATTTGTCCAGTCCCTCTGGGACACACGTGCCCCCGTTCTGGCATGGCTGGGAGTCACAAGGATCTAAACAGGACCAGGGAAAGGAAAGGCAGGGAGTCAGCAGGGAGCCTGCCCCTTCCCACCCTGTGCCATCAGTGGAAAAGGGGTCTCTTGCTGCAGAGTTTGAACTAACGTAGGGCCATGTGCACCCTCACTTCCACGGCAATTTCATTTTGGGATGACTCTCCAACAGGCAGTGTTAAGAAGACAAACCAGACCATGAGCTCACTTCATTTCCTTTGTAATAACACTGATGAAGTTACATTTGTGTAAATACAGGATTGCTAAAGGTCACACAGCCCGGTCACCAGCAGTGAAATGACCAGAGGGTGGCCTGCTGCTTGGGCAATGCTGTACTGAAAGAAAATAAAGCCATTGTCACCTGAACCAGCAACAATGTGGGGTTAAGGGCAGAACTGGAGCACCACAGCTATTCCCACAGTCACAAAACCAGGCTGGCAATCAGCAAGGGTCAGGTTCCCTGCTAATCTGACCATGGTACCAAATGAATGAGTGGAGGCATCTCACTGCATCCTCCCTTAGCTGGAGAGCTGTGACTCCCTGCAGGCATTGGGAAGCAGTGCAAGCCTCTGGCCCAGGGGCATGAGCAGATGAGGATGAACTGGCTCCTCAAGTGGAAGGAGAAATGACAGGGAGATATTTTAATCCAAAAGAGCTCTGGTTATAGATACCCATGACACAAAAAAAAAGAATGGATGTAATCTCAACTGCTTGCTAAGGATGACATTTTCTCACTTAGTAAAATTTTTTTAGGAATGAAAGTAAGTAAAACTCCTTCACTTTCATTCTTTTTATTCTTTAGTTCTTTTAGTCTTTTTATTCTTTAGTTCTTACCTTTCCTGCTTTGTAAATAGGATTTGTAAAAGGCTACATCCTACCTGGACATACAGTTCGGAAGCATCTGGAGGGGTGTTTTATCATGACTCTCTTCCATCTGAAACAGGAAGAATAAAACTTATGTATTTAAAGATTAACAAGGTATCTTCTAGGTTGACCTTATGGTGTTTCAACGGAACAAATTTTCTTTGAAAATACCATTTTCCAAGACAAGTTTTCCAAAACAAAATGTCCATTCTGAGTGGGGTGGCAAAAGAAAAATGATTTCATAGAATCTACTCTTCTGGTTTTGAATTCTGTATTAATGTTTTACACTTAAATTTTTTGGATGTATTTTTTAGGCTTCAAGTTATTTTGTTGTTGTTGCTACAGAAAAGATGTTACAGTTTTTACTCTAAATTTGAATGAAAGGAACAATTCACAGCAGTGAGAATTTGTTATTCGATAGGAATTCTGGCATCTAATTTATCCAGCTGTAACTAGTGGGTGAGCAAGGTTTAGATCAGGAAGAAATCCTCAGCCTTCAGCTGTGCCTCCCAGTGGGATCTTTTAACTTCCTCCATCATTTCCCTTCCCTAAGGTGACACGAAAAAAACCCCAAAACCTAGAGGAGAAATGTGATTTGCCACATGTAAGAAGGCAGGTAACACTGGGTCCTGACAGGGAGATGATTTCTGCCTTTTTCACCCCTGTTAATGACGTTTCTATTTCTCAAATACCTGCAGCTTCACTAAGCCACTGATTTTCCAGTGCTCTGCATTAGGGCTCCTCAAACTTGCAGCAACTGTGGCCAAAACCATCACTTTTGGAATGCTGTAGGCGAGCCACAAGCTGCTCTGCTTTCCCACGCTGACTATAAGGTACAAGGATCTGTAAATGCTCAGAGACATTAAGACAGGCCTGAAATTATCCCCCAGTATATCCATGCACAGGCCATTATGCACAGAGCCCAGATCCAGGGTGATTTCCAAACATTAATCTGACTGTCTGGTATTAAAACAAACACACAAACCATCTCTTCAAAGGGGAAACAACCCCCCCACCAATTTCTGTACAACACCACTTGCACTCAGCTGGTTTTATCAGCAAAGAGCACGAAGCAGCCTTTCCCTTCACGGCTCATTTTTAAAGCATTTCTCCTGCTATATCAGCTGCAATGACAATGCTATTTGAAGGACCTGACATGCTTTATGGGTTTTCAGCTCCAGCCTCCTCTCTGTGAGCAAGAGGACATTTTCCTTATGCAGCTCACTGCCATTGACCTGATAACGCAGCTCTTGGTGTGCATCCCGGTTTTGGCACAGCTGCACTATGACTGGAGGATATTTTGCCAGTGACTGGAGCCTCTCCATAGGAAAGTCCTTCCCATGTCCCACAGGGCAGCCAAGCAAAGGAAGAAGGGCTTCTCCCTTCTCCATAAGGAAGAAAGCCTGAGTGAATGAAAACAAAACTAACACCAACACAGGGAGCCAGACCTATAAACTCTTTCCAGTACAGAGTACCGAGATGCAAACTTCAAAGCCTCTTAGTTCAACAGATAGAAAACCAATCCTAAATCCATTTTCTAATATTCATGGTGCTCCTGGGCTAATCATCTTCTGCTTGTCTCAGCTCCTACTCTTACCCTTTGCTTCCCAGATCAGCCAATGGTCAGGGCAGGGAGAGCCTCTTCTAAGGTCTAAAGACTATGTTTGCACCAGTCAAGGTCAGATAAAAGCCTCATTGCTGTATCTCTGATGTTTTCTCAGCCCCGCTCACTGTTAGAGCTGTGGGTGTCCAACTCACCTGTAGAAAGGGCACAGTGAAGCCCGCACTGCATTTGACTGCTTTGAGCCTTTCCAGCACACGTAGTTTCCAGCCAGCTCTTTCACAGTCTCCAGGGTGCTGCGTTCACAAGGGTGGGATTCAACTCTGCAGCCTGTAGCAAAGGACAAATGCAAACTAGGATTAACGCATGAAAATACGAAGTCTGTGTGGTGGTGAAGCACCCACCTGAAATGGGTTAGTCTTCCTCATCTACCTGCCAACAGCAGACTGATTCAGAGCCTCCAGAGGCCCCAGAAGAGAATTTTCCTGTTGACAAGCTCAGCAGCCTGCCCCACTTTCTGGTATGCTCACTATTCAGTGAGCTTCCTTCATTTCGCGCTGCTGAGTTCAGGGTTCAATGACAAATTTTCAGCCCCTTTGGTGCCTTCATCATAGAATCAGATAGGCTGGAAAAGAGCTTTAAGATCATCAAGTCCAATCTCTACCCCAGCACTGCCAAGACCACCGCTAAACCATGCCACTGAGGGCCTCATCTACATGGTTTGTGAACACTTCCATCACTTGGAATCACCAGAATGCCATCCAGTTTGGGCACCAGAAGCAGGATAACTCAGAGTGCAACACCTAATTCCCCTGTGTGCTTTCTGACACCGCCTCATCTTCCTCGCTCAGTGACACAGTCCAAGCTCAAAGCATGGGCGTGAAGATAGAGCCAAAACGGGGTTACCTGGAGCAGTGGTGGTACAGACAGAGCCAGTGAGGGTGCTGTACAGGCCATTGACAGCATCATCAACGTCTCCAGCAAAGAGCACATGCTGCTCCGTGGGCTCGCTGGCCAGCACATGCAGCTCCTCCCATCTGCAGAGCAAGGAGGGGTTCAATCACGCGGTTATCCCCAAAGAACTGAGTATCAAAACAAACCCTGAGCAGCAAATAGAGAACTGATGCAGAACCATGGCATCCTTCAGTCTTCAAGATGCTCGGGTGTTTAATCTTAGGCAGTACCATAGCTCTAACTCAGTGGAAGAGCTTCCTTTATCAGCTCTGGTCCTCCTTCTACACCAGCCATCAAATCAGCATTTCCTCCTTGCCTGTATTACCCCACAAATCCCCCTTTTCTCTTTCCAAAGCTCACATCTAGCACAAGACCACCCCTTGCTCACTAGGACTTGCCATTTGGGTAGCTGGGCCTCCAATTCCCACTCTGTGGAAAGTTTCCTACCTTGGAAACTTGATTCCCACTGCAAAAACAGTGATTTGTCTCTCCTTAACCTGCATTGCAGGCACCGCGGTGCTGCCCTGGGACTTGCCATCTGAAATGATGATCAGGACTTCAGGGACACTCGAGTTTCTGCCACCAGGGAATCCCTTGCGGAGAATGTACTTCAGAGCCCGACCTGTCTCTGTGCTCCCACCTCTAGGAAGAAGGGAGATAAAATCAGAACAGTGGAAGTCAAAGCTCTTGTCCTGCTGTTGAGTTAATCTTTTGATTTTCAAGTTTCCACCCTCTAGTAAAGGGAAACTTAGCACATTGCTGCCTGTTGCCACACAACACATCCACAGAGATGTCTAATTCTGTCATTTTAGTCATCTCCCTATCAATAAGCACATCCACTCACCCTTATCTCCCTCCTCTCCAACCCAGACTGGTCTCCAGAAGACTTCCAACACACAGCAGTGTGTTTCTGTAGCTGGAGCAAGAACCAGAGCTCTCAGATATTTGAGTTTTATTTCCGGCTATGACAAATGTGTCAACTCTTTCTTGTTGTCCTTCTGAAAGTTGCAGTTGCTGCTTTAAGAGTTGTGTGGAAGAGCTATTTTATAACAACCTCTCTTATTCCAGCCAGAAACACAGTACATGTGGGCAAAATGAACAAACACCAGCATCTCAAAGTGGTTTCCTTTCTCTCGATGTGTAAAGATGCTATAAATCCTTGCCACATTTCATCCCTTCCCCTCCATGGGGCCTTCTGCTGTTCTTAGACCAAGAGCAAGACAGGGAGATACGTGTCCCAGCTTGTAACCGAGAGTCTGCAGTCCAGCAGTGTGCAGAGTCCTGGCCTTTTTCTCCATGGTTTATGTGCACATTAATTTGATTTTCTACTGAAAGTCATTTGTCCATCCTGTAGTAAAGCTCCTGAAGATACGAATGCTTAAACTTCTTAGTGTATCTCTAGAAACTCAGAAGGACTGGGCCAAGGGATGCTTTCTTCAGGGTTTCACCAGTGCCTTTTACGCGAGGAAAGTAAATGTTAAGAAAAGCCACCTGATGCTCCAGCTGTCTAAAACCATGATAAACTCGATCAAAAGTGATGCTCTCATCTGCTAGGTTGCTTGCCAGTAGCACTGGTACGATAGGGGAGGTGCACTAGCCATTGATATTCACACAAGCTGTACCTGTCAGTTCTCATTTTGGAGATGGGATCACCTGGAAGAAGCACAAGGCCATTTAAAACATGGCACAAGTTACCTACCTACTGCAGCACATTTGTGGTTCAGATGCCAAAGCTGCCTTACTCCTCATACTGTCTGCACTGAGTAGTGTCCTGAAGTCCTTGCAGGGCCTGGGACCCCTCAGGTCTGGGCTATCATGGATCTTGTCTGGGTGTCTCTCCTGTCAAGAATTTCTTCCAATACATGTAATTCAAAGGGGATGGAGATAGCCCTGCCACCTTTTGCTTACAAGGGAGTGGGATCTCAAGAGATGAGGGGACAGACTTGTAAAAGCATCAGATGATCCTGTCTGAAAATCTGATGGTCCTGAAAAGAAGTGAATCTGGGGAGCAGGATGGAGGGGTGCACAAGCTGACCTCTGAAGGAATGAAAAATGTTATCTTGGATCAAAGATGACAGAAGCAGATTTGAGCACTGATTCCAGGTCCTTCTCCGCAAAACCATCTATTCCCTCTTGCCTGGCCCCCCAAAAATCAGTTTCTAGCAGTACAAGGAACCAGCTACCTCCATAATCTGACAGCCCTTGAATTCTCCCCTGGAAAAGTGGACGTTTCTGAGGTAGAAAGCAATTACTTCAGTACTCAGCAATCTTCTCGGTAGCAAAGTACTAAACCCACATCAGGATTCAGGTACTAAAGGGGGCACATTCCAGCAGGGTCACATGCTGATGGTGACATAAATCAGCAGGTAAAATGTGCTACCTCTAAGCATTAGGGAACGGCAGGCATCAAGCCTTGCAGCTGTGCAGTAACTCCCAAGGAAAAGCAACCTTGATTGCAGTATTAGTAGAAAATAAGCTACAGGTTGCCAGAGAACAGCTCTAGTCAAAGATGCTTTAGAAATCCTGAGACTCATCTATTGTGAGATTATTAAGGAATAAGATCTGCTGACTGCTGGATGCCTCTTTAGCCTAAAAGCCTGATTGCCCTGCTGAGCCTGTAGATACTGGAGCTATCTGTACAACAGCACAGAGCCAGAGGGAAGGAAAGAGATGTCCCTCTGGCAGCAGGGATGCTCACCACAGGCAGGGTTATGGCCACTGTCTGCACAGCACAAGGGTCTCTTGGTGATGGCACACTGGATGTGAACTGGGAAGGAGCCCCTCATTGCAAGTGTGAAGATAAAGCAGAAGCAAATAAAAAGGGGAGTGCTATACCTACACAGGGGTCTTGGATGAGACAACATGTGTTTTTTATGGGCTGTACATTTACTCTAGTTGTTATTTCTTCCTAGTGAGCTCTGCGGAGCAGGGACTGTCCTCCTCTGTTTTCAAGAGTTAACTTTAAATGACTGCTAGAGATGCCTACTCAAGACTGGGCTCCATCCATGTTCTATGTACCATGAAATGTCACCACCACCTATGTCAGGCTGAGGCAGGAATGATGATGTGAGCCAAACACTGCAATTGTATTTAAGTAAAAGCCATGGGTAACCTAACAGAGACCTTGGAGAGGAGGTAGGAGATGGTCTCACCTCTACCTTGCAGGATGAGGTTTGGTGGACTGTGCAGCTGGACTCCAAGGTGAAATCAGCCCCAGCTGCCCCAACTCCCCATCCATCTCCTACACTTGGAGATGTAGGCTTCCCAGGCAGCCCCCGACGCAACCAACTCAAGCTTCACATCAACCACCTACATTCCCCATTCAGTCAGCACCAGGCTAAGACCTTGCTACAACTCAGTACCCTGGAAAAAAGCCTTTTGTCCCTTATAAAAAGCCAAGGGCAACCCACACTGCAAGTTCTTCAGCTGCTGTGGCCAGTTTTGACCCCTGCCTAAAACTCATTAACTTTTTGGTGTTGGAGGAATAAATATTTGCTTATCTCAAAGGGGTAAATCCTGCACTGACACGAGTGTCCCTCTTCCATTCTTGGTAGTTCTCCATCTGCACAAGGTGAGAGGTCTGTAATGTGCCACGTCTGACTGGACGTTTGGTACCAGAGAGAGCCCAGCTCACTGAGTACATGCTCAAGACCTGTTGATAATTAAGCCATGAGATCGAAGGAGACATTTCCAGCTGTCTTCTACTTCTACCAAGGAGCTGTGCTATAAATCACTTCCTATAATTGCCTGTTAGGGCTGCTTTAATAGCCATCCAGAGCAAGCAAGGGGAACAAAACCACAAGTGTTATTCATTTCTTCAAGGCATCATGTTGTCCTTTAGCTGTGTTGACACAAACACATCCTATTTGCTTTCTGAACACCCATCCTTTGCTTTAGCACCTGATTCCTGATCTGATTGTCCAAGGAAAGCATCTGATTGTGCCCAAGTTTATCACTTCATACTCATTTCATACTGTGTTCAGAGCACGTCCAAATCTGCCTTTTCCTGACCAGATGTCAGCAGCTGTCAGATGCTTCAAGGAAAAGTGCTGTGCATCAGGGAAAATATATTGTGCATAGTCAGACTGATGACTGGATCTTGATGAACTCAGTAAGCTGTGCCCACGTGAGCCCTGAGGACTAGAAAAAGTTAATAAAGAGTCTCTCTGCACCAAAGCACCTTAAATTCAGTTTCTTATCAATTTTCACTGTTTTTTGATACAGTGGGTGTGTGCTCGAGGCATTAATCCAATGAGGATTTTCTGAAGCTGAAGGAGATCTGGGCTTTACCTGCTGCCTTTTCTCGGGGACAGCGCTAAGAGCATTTCTCTCCTGTAACCAGCCATTGACTTGTATGAAAGAAATTCATAAGAAATTTAGCTTCTGAGATTACTGCCAAATTTGGTTGAATTTGGCGAATGAACCAAAAGCCATTTGGATGGGATTCACCGAGAGAGACCAGCAGGCTCCAAATAAATCACAGAAGCTTCACTTCAGTCTGGTGCTGCCTCCGTTCAAGTGCTCTCACCTCCACGCCTGGAGCACAGGGCTGAAGTCAGGAAATGCCTCGCTGGCCAAAGCCTCATCAGAAGCACATCAAGAAGCCTCTCAACCGAGATGTCAGACACCCAGCTTTTTCGGAAGCCAACTGGAATCCATCAGTAGCTGTTTCATCTGCTTTGAAATGTCAGCTTTTCATTTAAACTACATGGAACAGCCAAGCACAGGGTCATTCTTTCTATTTGATCTGTCAGCATCCATGTGTTGTCATCAAGGAATTTCAGTGCCAGATGCAAAACACTGCTCCATTTCCTCTGCTCTCACAGGCTTTCAGCCAGCAGCCAAAGAGGAGGAGTGAAACTTGTTTTCTGTAAGTTTTTCCTGTAACCTTACATAAAAGGTTTTCTTGATTTGATAAACTCAGCAAAAGAATACAACAAAACCAGCCAATTGGTCTTGTTTGAAAAAATCAAAAGTGATCCCATTTGCTTGCAATATGTACATCATGCTGAGAGCAGCAGACATCCATAAGAAATGCTGACCTAACCTTTACCCCTAATGCAGATCAGCTGAAGAAGGAGTAGACACCCACAGGCCATACTGGTACCTCAGGTATCATCAAAACAAGTGTTATTTTGGGGTGGTTGTCAGATCCTTCGTACATTGGAAAGTATTTCTTAGAGATGAAAAGTTTGGCTTTTGAGAGGCTCTAAGAACAAGGCTTCTCTGGGCTTCTGGCTCCATTTCCTGAGGTCGTGGGAATGCAGCCAAGTCTTAACATCCAGCAAGAAAAAAGGTTTCCCTCCGAAAACCTGATCCTTTTGAAATCAGCAGATACACATGCACAGATATCTGGGGACCAGGAATCCATCACTACCTCGTAAGACAAAGCAAGCTGTAACCACCAAACCCATGAAGATGCATGCTTTCCTGCCTTTGCTCAGCCATGTGGAAATGCCACGCTTGCTTTTCCCTGGAAGCATGTTATCCACAAATGGCCAGAAGAACCCACTAGGAAGATCATGGAAAATTCTCCCTATTTACCGTGTCATAGTGGGACACTGAAAACTTTCCCTCCTATCAAATTCCACTGACAAAGCCAGACCATGCTGCATGTTTTTAGCAGACTGTGGGTTATGGACCACAGTGTCCATCCACCCTCTTCCCCCAGGGCATCACACTGGTGTATGCACAGCAGAGGTGGACATGTCCAGACCTCAACAAACTCCCAGTCCAGAGATGGTTCATGGCCCCCAAAAAGAGAAGAAGAAGAGTTGTAAAATCAGCTTACCTGAACACAATCCTCTCGATTCTGTCTTTCACCTCTCGTTTGGTTAGATACAAATCCAGTGGGAATTCAAGGCGGGGAGTTGAGCTGAACTGTATCAATCCCACACGGACCTGAAAGGAAAGGTTGAAGATTATGAAAGGTGCCTGTGAGAGTTTTACCCTTTTGGTCAATTTACAGATTTGGGAAGACAAACTCTGTTTTCCATATTGAGCCACTGGCACTCTCAGTGAACTTCAAAAAGGAGCACAGGCCACAGCATTACCTATGCAGACTGTAAACGAGGCAAAAAAGTTCATCTGCCAACAACGTGAGCCTCTGCTGCAGTCACAGGCAGCTCAAGATCTATATTTATCCATTCAGAGCAGCGAGGAGCCTCAAGCACAGTAAGCTCATAAATAACACCTTTTATACCAAGGCAGTTATACACTGCACAGGCAATCTTTCCATTACTAAAAGCAGCTCCCTGGGGCACCGAGCACAGCAGGCAACACAAACCAATTATTTTTCCACTACCTCCTCTAAAACTGTTTTCTATCATTGAAAATGCAAATAGACTAAATTGTATGTATTGGGCAATACAACCAGGATATTTCATTGAAGCCTGACAAGAAGCTTTAGGGAATGTGACAAATTCAAAGGCGATAAAACTACTGATTTTCAGTCTGGTCTTTGTGAGGATTAAGGGAAATACTAGGGGAAGGATGGTATTTAGAAATAAACCAACCCACCAAATCTGCAAATATTAAATGTTCAGACTCTTCTACCTAAGCCTATATTGCAGTCTAGTTGAAGGTGTCCCTGCTCATTGCAGAGGGGTTTGGACTAGATGACCTTTGAAGGTCCCTTCCAACACAAACCATTCTAAGATTCTATACAAGTCTCTACTCTCAGTCAATTTGTTATGACCTATGAAAAGGGAATGGCCATTTAACCTAAGCCACCCAGCATCTCTCGAAACCTCAATCGTGCACAGTCACTGCTTACTGTCATTGCCCAGGCTGCAGAAATCTTCCTGTGCTGTGTGGCTGTAAGCTGAGATCTGAAGGGTTAAACATTTCTTACATAAGAAGATGACAGAGGGGAATAGTGATTTCAGCTTCCAAAGGATCCTTTAACAGGGGCAGAGCAGCAGCTTTTGATTTTAGGACCTGGAGCTGTGGTGGCAGTTGGTCTGGAGGAGATTTTTGGGTACAAGTCTAAGTGTCCCTGCCATGGGAACCAGAAGCAAACACAAGAGCTGCCTCCATTCCTTTGCTCCCAGACCTCTCTGGAGAATCAGACATGGAGCAAGGGTCCCCAGAGCTGCATCAGGCCCAGACCCACCCTCTGTCCTGCCTCAGGTTCCTCTTCCTGCCATGCAGAGACCTTACATCCCTACCACAACCTTCCCAAATACCTGTCATTTACTTGGAAAGGCTCTGGCAGGGAATCAAGTACAAGGACCATCCCAGCCAGCTCCAAGGCCCCTGGCTAGGACAGGACGATGTGGGGCTGGATGCACAGCTGGAACTGCAGCTGGGTCTGGCTTGAAATCTCCTCAAACCCGAGATATGCTGTTCAGGCCCAGAGGTGCATCAAAGGTGGCTCCAGGGAGCAGGTAAAACCTGAAGGACTGTGGCTTCAGCAGCACAGCTCCCATCGCTCTTTGCAGACACAGCACCCAGAATTAGACTTTGGTTTGAACCAAGGCCTGGGATAAGAATGGACAAGGAGGAACATGGTATAGCTACATGTGTCCATTCATCTTAGTGTGGTTTATACTGGGTATCTGTAAACACCAGTTGCATGGGCTCCAGCTGACAGTCCCAGATGGCATCTTCTGTGTTCTTCTCACTGGTGAACACCACCATTGAGCGCACTGCAGCACCAACAGCTGGGGAGAACAGTGATATTTTGGAGACCTAATGCAGCATACAGATCCCCAAACGCCACAGTATAGAGCCAGTGCCTTGCAATGAACTCTTCCCCTTCAGCCCTTTTTGGCTTATTTTGGAATAGAGACCTTCTAGGAGAAGCAGAGCAAGCAGACTGTATCATTTACATCTGTACAGAAAGGCAGTCAACCTCCCAGAGACTAACTCTGCAACTTTCCAGGGAAAAACAACAACGATCCAACCATTTTAATCTATGAGCATCCAAACCAAAATAAAAATCAGTAAAAAACCCTAAATCATAATCTTTAACCTGAAAGATTGTCTTTTTCCCAAGACCAAATGGAACTGCTCAAAATCTGTGAAGAACCAAGAAGGGTCCTTCAATCCCACTGCTTCACAAACCTCCATCTCATCTTTCTGCATAAATATTCTGACCCCGTGGTAGCTGCTAGGTTGAACTTTGCAGTTTCACTCAGCACATTATCACTGGCCTTTCCACACACTGCCAAGCTGTTTGAACCTAAAACGAGACATTCCTGACACTCACCCTGTCTGGATGGATGTCCAAGGCATCACAGAGCTTGCCTGCGAAGTGCTTAGACCTTTCAAAGCTTCCTTTGCCAATGCTGTAGGAGCCATCCAACAGGAAAAGGACATCTAACGAAGCGGAGCACTGCATCACTAGAAGAAAAAAGATAGACATTCTGAAACTGCACCTTATTAGTCTCACTGCCTGGAAGCAGCCAGCCAAGAGCAGAAAATCCAGACACATGGATCTGCAGAGGACAGAAGCAACCCAAAGCCTGCATGCGACCCTGCTCTGCCCTGCACTGTTTCAGTCCTGTCGTGGTTTAAGCCCAACCATGTCTTTTGCTAGCTAAACCCTGAATTTGTAGTTAGGGTTTTCTAATAGCAGATTAGGAGGGATTGAAAGGTGTAAAGCATTCCCTTCTGGGTCACTGGTTCTTCTAATGGGGCAACCAGCTTTGCCCTGGAGCACTGCATTGGGGATGAGCTGGAGCACAGCCTACCCCACTAGTGCTGTCCCGGCTTGTCAGCCTTGCCCTCACTGCTGGTCTGAATGTGGAGATGCAAGAACCTGGGTGCTCAGTGCAGCCACTGCCCACAGCTGCCTGCCTAAGCATGCACAGGAGAAGCTGCTGTACCTCCATCCTAGTGTGGGCTTGGCATGGAGACATGGAGACCAGGTTGATATGGGCTTGGAGCAACCTGCTCTAGTGGAAGGTGTCCCTGCCCAAGGCAGGGGGTTGGAACTGGATGAGCTTTAAGGTCCCTTCCAACACAAACCATTCGGTGACTTTATGTCTGCAGCTCACCAAAGGGGTCTTGGTGATGTATGTCAGTGAGAAACGTCCAAATACAGCACATCAGGATGGAACGCCTGAGCTGAACACCTGGTGCTAAGGATGGGGTCGTGCCTGGCATAGGAAAACATGTAATCTGTCATCGGCAGGCAGACAATGGAAAATAATGGCTAGCAGGAGAATGCATGATACAGACTGTGAGTAAACAATTGAGTGTACGTCAAGGGAGCTGCAGGTGAACACGGTTTGCTGGCAGCCAGAGTCCAGTCATCCCTATTCACTGCATTGTGGCTGGTGCTGGCTTCACAACCTGAACAAACGAGCCACATGAGAGGACTAATCGAGTCTGTGATTAAACACAGCTCCTTAAACCAGGATTGCTTGAAACAGGCTCTGAAGGAACTGACAGAAACAACAGCTGGTTGGCAAATAACCAATATGGGAAAAAACAGAGCAGTTTGCATCCCATGAGAGCAGTGAGGGGGAAAACCAGGCTAGGGCAGAAGCAGCTACAATGCTGTGCTTGCCAGACCACTGCCGGGGCCTTATAGACTGAATGGGGTCCAATAAGCAAACAAGCAAATAGATAAATTTAGGAAAAAACAATAAAACAGAGGAAGAAGGAATACAGAAAATAGAAAAACTTGCTTTAAAAATGAACTTACACTGGCCAGCAGCTGAGATCTTGCTGATCATCTCCTGGTCAGCATGAATTTCTTGTATACTCTGCACCAGCAAAACTGTGGGATCAAACAATCACCCATCAGCACTAAGAACTGCCTTAATAAAGACAAACAAACAAACACGCAGGCTTTAATCTGCAGCTGCAGAAATGCTGGTTTGCTGTATAGGTTTCACATCTGCAGTAATGTGTATCTATGGGAAGAAATTCCTTATGGCAGGGACCCTACTCCAGCACACAGGAGGACATGCAGGGGCACAGTGCAAAAATGACAGGCCAGGCTTAGGCTTCAAACATTACAGTCATAAGCACTGGAGATGCCAAATAAATGCACTAGAGATATTTATGAACTTTTAATATCATAAAAACATCAGCTTTTCCCATATCAATCAGCTTTTCACATATACAGATGCTCGAGTTCTCAGCAAAGCTGCTACTCCAGGTATTATTTTCTCCCCTTCTCTGTGAAACTGAGGGGTTTATCTGTAAACCTCCTGGAGAGGCATTGATTGGGCTTTTGTTCCTCAGAATGAAGAACTCCATTCAGAGCCAGGGAAGCATCCGAGACAGAAACCACTGATGAAAAATGACAACATCAAACATACCTTGGGGAAGCAGGAAAATGCAGATGGACTCAAACAACAAGAGGCTCATGGTGACAAATCTGAAAGAAAAATAAAGGAGAGGAATACTGATCCAATGCCTAAAGCTGGATTCTTTACATGCAGCTGATCATCTCCTTGCTGGTTGTCTCATGGGATGAGTTCAGATGAGTTCTGAGGGGCAAAGGCAACTCCTACCCTGGGGAGGAAGGTGGGAAACAAATAGAAGGAAAAAGAAGAAAATGAGGAAACGATGGAAAAGAGTCTCCCTGTGCACTCATCTCCTTCCCTATCAAGACAGGAGGCAGCAGGCTTCAAGGGGAGGGAGTGCCCAGCCTCCCTCCTCTCCTTCCCTCCGTGGCCATCCAGACCTCTGCTCTCCTTCTCCTTTCCTCCTTATCATTGTACCTCCGTCTCAAAGCAAAAACCCATCCGAGTCCCCACTGCCCTCGGAGAGCCAAACACAGCTCCTCTGGGGGCTCACTAAGCATGGGGCAGAGCCATGTGCCCCCAGCCCCACCATCCATCCCTGCCTTGGCCAGCGTTGCAGCCCATCATTGCAGGTCTTCAATAACACTCAACCACAGGCTCTTTCATGCCTTATATCTTGCAAGGGCTGACTTTCTGGGGAGATGTTTTTATGTACAACTGTCCTGCAAAGTCAGTTTTCTGCTCATTTCTCCTTTGAAATCAGCAAGGCTGCCATCACGTCATAGATGGACTTCAGTGACACTTTCAAGCATGCCCACATTTAGACCAAGCACATCTGGCTGAGGCCTTGGCTTTCCAGTTAAAACACATGTATTTATTTTTCCTCCAGATTAAAAGCACTGGGTGCACTCACTAGAGCAAATCTGACCACATTCATGCTACATCTCTGCCTCTCTCATTGCAAAAGCAGATTTTCTTCATGCAGTTACAGACAAATAAAAGCATTTAATGATAACCAGCTCTATTAAACAAGTGTTTTCCCAAGAAAATAGAGAGGGCTTTTGCTCAGGGAAGACTTGTCTCTGCAGCAAATGATATGTTTAATAAGCAGGTGGGAAGAACTGATGCTTATTAGTGAAATCACCAAAACAGGCCCATTCCCATCACTCCAAATGCCAAGTCTTTGTAAGGGTAATGTGTAAACCTCACTAGTCAGGGCAGCAGTGGTCAGGAAATGGCTTCATGGAGTGTCCCCACACTGTCTGTCCCAGTCCAGCCCTCGACTGGTATTGCCCTGGGCACATCTGTACATTAGCTCCTGCAGGAAGGAACATACTTAGACTAAGGAAGGTGCCAAGCAGTGATTCCTCTCTCTGTCTCACTGTTTGACCTTGGATTTAGTGTTCTGTGCTGGGATCTCACTTCCTCAGTTTCCCCAGTCTTTAGATGGGGTGCCAGCACCCCCTGTGCTTCCACGGGTGGGAAGACCCCATCAACACACAGGCAAACTCCCAGGAACACATAAAACTTTAAACCCCAGGACACAAGCCAAACTTTCAGCAATGGAAACTCCTCCTCTGGGCAAGCTTTTCTGTTCAGAGGAGCAGGTGGGACATCTGAAGTCTTGTCTTGCACTAGAGCATCAGTCTCAGACCCTTCCCTTTGCCAGGGGAACCTCTAACACCCATCCCAGACACCCAATGCTCAGAGAAAGGGCCCATTAAGCCCATGCAGCTTCCTGCACCTCAACACCCCTCACATCAGACAAGGCAAGGGCCTGCTCAGTTACCTGCACAGGACCATGATGAAGAGGGGAGCTGAGAAGGCATCACTAGGGATTACAGACAATAGTGCTCTGTGTCTTGCAGCTCTTTACCCAGTACCAGGTGCTTTACAAGCATCACTCTTCAACACATCCTCCCAACGCCCCCAAATTAACACTGCCAGATTAACAGATCCCAAGCTTGCTTAAGTAAAGGGGAGTAAATGCAAAACATGCCTTAATCAAGGAAGCCCTTGTGTCCCTCAGTAGCTTCAAGCCCTGGCACATGCCACAGAGGTAAGGTCATCCTTCTGCCATGCCCTGAGGACTTTCTGTCTAGCACCTAATTCCAGAGCACACAACATCCAAAGGAGGACAAGCCTCTGCCTGCAACCAGCTGTGACAGATGTGAGGGGATTTCAGGTTGTTTTCATACAAAACGTTGACAGGTCGAGATGTTTCTACGACTTGGCCTTATCTTGGGCTTACATCAACTAATTCGCAGGATGAATTCTTTGCCTTTCAGCCCAGTTAGACTGTCAGCAGCAGGAACTGAAAGAAAACCACATCATCACCCGCTTCTCATCAGCATGAGCATTAGCCCAGGACCTTTAGACAGCAGCTTTGCTGGGGGTGAGTGAAGGACCTTTTCATGTTATCTTCCTGGCCATTTAGAAAGGGAATTTCAGAAATATCTGCATTAGTACTGAGTCAAAATAATCTTTTTAACCATGATCAGCCAAAAGTCGTGGTTTTTTGTAACCAAAGTCTCACATCCTTATGATCACAACTTATGCAAAGCTCAGTAAGAGTGTAATCACATGTACCTTCTTTGGAGGAGTGAGACAAGAGGGGAGGGAGAGGTAGAGGGGGAAAAAGCTCCTTCTGACAAGTATCTTCCCAACATGGTTTTCACCATCTGCAAAACATCTCACCTTCCTTATTCTTACTAAAGAGACAGAACCAAACCCTGATCTGAAAACACAGTGAACCAACAGCACCAAGTTGCTCACCTGGATGTCGACCCAGGTCCAACAGCAAAGCTGTGCCTGTAGCAGGGCAAATACCTGCCTGAGAAGGGATCCCAAATATATCATAGGCTGGTGCCTCTGTAGGGAAGGGAAAGGGGTTGCAGCTGATGTCGTGTACCTTGTTAAACTTGCCTGGCACAAAACACCACCATGAAATATCCTGTGTATACATGTATGAGCACACCCTGACTCTACAGTCTGTTACTGGAACAGTTATTATCATGTATGCTACTTTGGGGCAAATGTTACTCGCCTCCTAGGACAAGTAGAAGATACATAAAATTGCAAGTCACTTGCTGTAATTACCTCCTCTTCTCATCTCGGAGACCTGGCTTGCAACCAAAGGCATTTCCAGCTCATTTTTCAAGTTGTCCCCCTTTTATTCAATAATAGGGGGTAAAGCAGAAAGATTATGCTGCATATTCATTAAAGCATGTTCTCAACAAGCCAAGAACCCCCTGTCACTTTTAACTCCATAGTTCCCCTTCAGTCTGCCTGGGAGCATGTGGCACCAGCTTGCTGAGGGGATCCACTGGTATGGGCTCCTCTGATGCTCAGGTGTGGGGAGGGAAGAGAGGAAGCCAGTTCTGCTGCCTCCTCTCTCAGTCTTCCTCAGCCTGTTTTCCGTAAGTCAATTTTACTTTTCCTTCTTGTCTAGGTTTGGAGGCAGTGGGACATCCCTATTGGGAGCTCTGGGTGTCCCCTCTGTCTGGCCACAGGCACTGACCCAGCTGGGGTAGCTAATAGGGGGAGGAGGAAGATGACAGAGAAATGTTTAAATTCTCCTTAAAACAAACAACACAAGTTTCAGACTAAAACTTTTGACACTTTTTCTCCTCAAGTGATAAACAAGATTAAATTCCCATGAGATGTTCTAGAAAACCAGCTTGTTTGTTCACCCCCCTGGTTCTGCATGGAGGAACAGTTTTGACAGGGTCTTTTAGCCCCCCTGCAATAAGGGCTCCTGTATCCAAGAGTCTTAACCTTGCAGCACTCATATGGGGAACTGTCAAAATCAATATACTGCAGATCAGCTACAGTATGACCCACGAGTTATGGAACAAAAGGCACTTCTCTTCCCCAGAGCTGGTGCTAAACTTACTGTGAGGTTTGTCCTGACAAAAGCAACTCATGCTACTGACTTTGCCTGTGGCTAGAGCAGCAGGAGTGTCTCTGTGAATGCCTCATCTCTCTTACCCTTTGCTGGATGCCACATGCAAGGCCACCCAGGGGAGCTGGAGCCTGCCTCAGCATTGGTGTGCAGCAGTGGGCAGCTAGAGCTGGAACTGGGAAGAGCTGTATGGGGTGGCAGAGAAAAGGGGTGCAGGGATCTGCGGGAACTTGGTATCTTAGGAGAAACCAATGGCAGCATAAGAAACTGAATATGCAAACAACATAATTATATTGAGGCTATGAAGAACAAAGGTAACATGCTCACATACCCACTGAGAACTACTAATTCATTGTCCCTGTTGCCCCTCGCTGTGCAAATCTGTGGAGGCTACAGCTGGGACCTGCCAGTGCCTTTCACCAGCCAGAAACATCCCCACCTGAGGGGAATCAGCTACTGATGTGCCCACACCATGTGCAGGTGTGGATGGTTCACAAAGAATGAGGCGGAGGAATGTACTCCCTGCACCTTTCTCATGCACATCAGCAAGATAACATCTCCCTGTTTAATTCCTTAGATATACCACCATGCCACACAGGTCCCTTTGTCCAAAAGCTTCCCAGAGGGACAGGAAGATCTTAGGCTGGTCACCTCATCTTGTAAGACAGAAAACCTCTGCTGTTTCACTTGGTGGTGTCACTGTCCCACACTGCCCATGCTCCTGCAGGGCTGGGAAGGGGTGCTTGCTGCCTGCAGCAGGAGCAAACCACTGGCCAAAGACATCAAGCTGGTTGCTAATGAAGCCAGCACTCAAACCATAGGGACCCTCCTGGCTGGCTTAGAAGGACAAGCCTCACAAGCAGAAGTAAGGACTTAAAGATGGCTGTGATGAGCCTCCCTCTTGAGGAAACTAAATTGTGGTCTGTCCTTCCCCAAACAGCCGATACTGCAGAAGAGGAGGAACTCCCTTTCCAAGGCAGTCAGTTGCAGTGGTTACCTACAGCAGAGGTAACATCTCTGGTATTCAGCTTAGTGAGACAGCCTGTCCTCACCTCAGCTGCATGACACAAAGATCCTGATCATCTCATACCCAGCCCCACTTACAACACTAACCTGAATTCACACCTTATCCTCATGCTGCATCTCTGCAAGCCTCAGGGACAAGCCACAACCTGGGAATTTTCTCCACGGCAAACACATACGAGCTGTTACCTGCATGCATTTTCA